AGCAGAATTTCTGTGCAAGTCATTTGTAAAATCATTCATGTAGATTGTCACATTCATTTTAATGAAGAACTTCATTCTGCTCTTGTTTCCCCTAGACAGCAATGCCATTAAATGAAGAACAAATGGAGACATTTGCTGTTCAGAATTTTCTCCTCAAGAAGTAACCTCACATGTGTCTCCTCTATTAAGTAAGAAGAGATTTCAACAATGTCTCAAACCTGTCAATATCAGAGTCTCAGTATAAAAGGAGTAGTTCACGATTAATTGAAAATGTAGTCACCCTCAGGCCATCCAAGATGTAGATGAGTTTGTTTCTTCATCAGAAAAGATTTGGAGAAATGTAGCATTCCATCACTTGCTCACCAATGGATGCTCTGCAGTGGATGGGTGCCATCAGAATGAGAGTCCAAACAGTTGATGAAAAACTGTAATCCACAAGTACACAATACAACCAACATCACAATAATCCACAAGTAATCCTCACCACTCCAGTCTATTAACATCATGTGAAGAGGAAAACTCTGTTTATAAGACAAATACATGTCCATAATCCATAATAACAGTGCTTGATCTGTGCAGATTTGTCTCCCGATTCAGACCAGATTACTTTTTCACTGGAGAAAGTATAATTACGGATAGAGGACTCATATTTTTACAATGGTTTGAAATGAAAAACATCACAATGATGGATTTGTTTCTTACAAACACGCACCTTTTCACTTCACAAGATGTTAATTGAGTGGTGTGGATTACTTGTGGATTATTGTGATGTTTTTATCAGCTGTTTGGACTCTCATTCTGACGGCACCCATTCACTGCAGAGCATCCATTGGTGAGCAAGTGATGGAATGCTACATTTCTCCAAATCTGTTCTGGTGAAGAAACATCTTGGATGGCCTGAAGGTGAGTAAGTTTTCAGCACATTTAAATTTTTTGGTAAACTATTCCTTGAACTCAAATATTTCTCATCAAATTTGTTCAAATTCAAATGACATTTATTCTCCCCATTCATCTATAGCTCAGTACTCTTACCGTGTGTCAGCTATTGGCTCGTTGTGTCTTTTAATGCAAGTTGTAGTTGATACTTAAATGAAACACTAAAAAAAATTCATTCAGTCTCATGAGCTATAAAAGTGTTTCCTCTGGGCTTTTTGACTGTGTAAAATAACTGTATCAATGAGTGCCTTTGGACCTTGTAAACCGCTCCTGCTCCTCCTTGGCTCTTCCCAGCGACTTGCTGATCTGGGACTCCCTGCTGATCTGACATCTCTCCGCCTGTCAAACACACAAACACACATCAGAGATGAGAAAAAGCGATTCTGAATAGGGTCACAAACCAGCCATTGCTGTGTGAGTGCTAAAAACACGAGAAGAGTAAATAACTTCAATTAAATGGTAAACCAAAAGAAAATAGGAGATTTAATCTAAAGTGAATGGCCACAAAACACATTTGGACGCTTATAAATACATGAATGTTATTGCGTTAGATAACAAAATATTAAAAAAGAGGCATTTATTTTAAAGAAAGATGCATAATTATGCAAAATATTTATAACTGATATGAAAATTTTTTTTTTACAAAACACAACTTGCCTTTCCCCAAAATTAAACAGATAAACATATTCCTTAAGCAGCAATTCATACAACTGAAGTATAAAAATAACCATTATTTCAATGACTGAAAAACATTCAAAGGGAACAGCAATTAAACAAGCTTATAATGTTCATTATTGTAACATCATATATATTGTGTGTGTAATTACTTCAATTAAATGGTAAACCAAAAGAAAATAGGAGATTTAATCTAAAGTGAATGGCCACAAAACACATTGGACGCTTATAAATACATGAATGTTATTGCGTTAGATAACAAAATATTAAAAAAGAGGCATTTATTTTAAAGTAAGATGCATAATTATGCAAAATATTTATAACTGATATGAATTTTGTTTTTTTTTACAAAACACAACTTGCCTTTCCCCAAAATTAAACAGATAAACATATTCCTTAAGCAGCAATTCATACAACTGAAGTATAAAAATAACCATTATTTCAATGACTGAAAAACATTCAAAGGGAACAGCAATTAAACAAGCTTATAATGTTCATTATTGTAACATCATATATATTGTGTGTGTAAAAAATGTTCTTGGTGGTATACGGGAAAAACAAAACAAAACAAAAAGCAATGACTAAAAAAAACTTCCGAAGGGACACATTTGAAAATAGCTTATTATGCTCATCATCGCATATATATTGCGTTTTTCAAAAATGTTTTTGATAGGATGGCCACAAAACAAAACAAAACAAAACAAAACAACAAAAAACAAAACAACAAAAAACAAAACAACAAAAAACTAAACTAAATAAAGCAAAGCAAAGCAAAACAAAACAAAACAAAACAAAACAAAGAACAACACAAAACAAAACACTGACTGAAAAACATTCAAAAGGGACAAAATTAAACTCAGCTTATTGTGCTCATTATTGTAACATATGTATTGTGTTTGTAAAAATGTTTTCGGTAGGACGGACAAAACAAAAAACAAAACAGACAATATCAAAACAAGTGGCTTTTCTTTTCAAGAAAGACGCATTTAGCGTAAAAAAAAAAAAAGTGGTTTGTTAAAGGTTTTAAACTCTAAAACAATAGATCTTGTTATGACAATGAAGAAAAAAACATTTTGTAAACTTTCTTGTTTTAGCAATAAAAGTTTGGATCAAATAGATTAGTCTTGGTCAAGGAAAAATCTCTCTAAAAATGACTTTCTTTCTCTTTTATAGCAATTTCTCTATTTCAACTTCACTACATCAGGTCTCCAATTAATCTTAAAATAGATTTCTATGACAATGATATTTAGTTTCTTTCTTCTGCCAGCACACATGTGAAAAGTAAGAGTTCAGATGAAGGCTGAACGCATCTTTACCTGTTTCTCTCGTCCTTCACCTTCAGCAGTTCTCACCCCTCCACTCTCTCTCAGCGTGTGTGTGTATGAGTGTGTGTGTGTGTGAGGAGTGTGCGTGGAGTTGAGGGTGTGCCGGGCGAGTGGAGGGGACCTGGGGGGTATTTATGGTTTAATTCCGTCCACAGCAGCAGAAATGGGTTGGACGTCGATTGCTGTTGATGCAGCAAGTCTGTCGTTCGCATTTGTGTCCGTCAGGCTGCCTCTCAATAGGCCGTGAGCCACCAGCCTACTCTGCTGCCAGTGTGGGTACAGCGGGCACCGACAGGGTGCGAGCCAAGAGGATTCAGACGGGATCAGCTGCTGTCATCACAACCCTGCTCACTATCCCCTCTCTCTCTCTCTCTCTCTCTCTCTCTCTGAGCCCAAACCCATGCCACAGATTTGGACCATTCATCCTCATTTGATGGATTCTCAAAATTAGTGATCATTTTCTATAATTGTTTGCCCAAGAAAAACATGCATGTAAGAAAAAATAAGAATTAAGAAAATAAATAAAAATAAGCTTAATTTTGGTTTAAAATGTAGTTAAATGTAACTTAAATTGCACTTTAAAAAGACTTGGTGGATGCAATTTAATGGCTTAATTAAAATGTAGGTAAATGTAACAATATGTATATCCCACTACCCACTATATATATTCAATTAAATTCAAACTGCATTTACAAAAGACTAGGGATGCACCTTAAAAAATTATTATTATTTCATAAAAAAGAATAAAATAAATAAACACTGAAGTCATTTTCTAAATGGACAAATAAACTAAAAATGGCTTAATTCTGGTATAAAATGCAGTTAAAAGTAACAATGAATGAATATGCATATTTTTTAAAAATTCATTTTAAATTGCATTTACAAAAGACAAGGTATGCACCTTAAAAAAAAGGAAATCAATTAAAAAAAAACATTGAAATCATGTTTGAAATTGACATTTGGTATAAATGTAGTTAAATGTAACAATAAATGAATATGTATATTTTTCTAAATTCGTCTTAAATTTCTAAAAGCCTTGGGGTGCAACTTAAAAAAAGAAAGAAAATCAATTATTCAATAACAAAAACATTTAAACATTAAACATTTAAATCACTTGAAAAATGTAACATATATTTTAAATGATTAAAAAATTACATTTTAAATTGATAAGGGATTCTATTTTTAAGTGGCACTCCCAGTATACTTAATAATAACGGTCCAGATTGGTTAGAAAAGCAAGCCAGTGCTGTAATTCAACCTGACAAATTAGGTTATACCTACAAAAGTATTTTTTTATGGCTTAGATCAAGTAAAAGCATTTTTTAGAGTGTATGTTTAAAAAAAAAAAAATCTAATTTAGTAAATAAAAATGAATTTCAATGAAGCGTACAGATAATAGCACCATCTAACACTCCTGGTACTTGCATTTAAATTAAAGTTTGTGCCAAAACACTGTTGAAGGAGATTTTAATTTATGGTTCTTGCAATGTACATTAAAATGATAAAGTGTTTATTAGACACCTTACTGCAACGCACGGAGCAAGTGTCTAGACCTACATTTGTAATTCAGAAATGGAGACATTTCCCACAATATATTATCCAGAGTGAGTGAAAATACATGAAATAAACGGAGGAATAAACAACAGTCCATTGGACTTCCCACTTTACCTTTATCCTTTCCAAGCACCAACCTCACTTTCTTTAACTGACCTACTGGTAATCAAAAAGGAAATCAATAATTATTTTATAAAAATAAAAAAAACATTCTTTTGAAACTGACAAATAAATTAAAAATGGCTTAATTTTGGTATAACAAATTAATATGTATATATATTTTTTAATTCACCTTAAATGGCATTTTATTAAGACTGGGTGAAAGGAAATTAATTATCAATCATTTAAAAAACATTTGAAAAATGCCTTAATTTAGGTTTAAAATGTAGTTAAATGTAATGTTACATACCCTCATTTTCATAGCTCTGTCTTTGTCTCTGCTGATACCTTCTGATATCTCAGTCCTACCACACATAAGAAAGTAATACATACAAAAACAAACTTGCTTCCCATTTAGAAAAAATATTTAATCAAGATGATTGTAATTCATCATTCATATTTTATAAAACACAACTCCCGTTTCCCAACATTAAACAGGTAAACATTTTCCTCAAGCAGCAATTTACACAGCTGAAGTCTAAAAATAAACGACTGGGGGGGAAAAAACATTTCAAAAGAGCACAATTAAACACAACTTATTATTAGTCTGATTTGTGTTTGTAAAAGTGTTCTTGGCAGGACTGTAAAGGCATTGGCAATAAAACAAAACCTCGTAAATGATAATCAGCCCGATCCAAGCACATCAGCTGATGCTTTTCTGCTCACTAGAGCTTTAATTCAAGAAAAAAATATAGTAGAAAATAAAAGATTAAAAAGAAAAGAAAAGAAGTGAACAAAATCAAATGATGTTTATAAGCTGGAATGGCACATGTTGTAAACAGAACGAAAACCATTTAGAGAAAGAAAAAGTAGTTTCATATAGCAATGAACATCTTAAGATCAGACTTAGAAGTTTTAGAAACACAATATTTAAATTCTGATTTAAAATGCAATAAAATGCCCAAGAGCCCTAAGGCACCTTTTCCAGTGATCCAACTTATTTAAAGTGCATTGTAGCATGAAGCTATACTGATTGAACTGGAGGAACTCGATGGATAAACCAACCTCACTTTGGATAAAAAAGATCTGTTGGATTAATAAATGTAAACAAAATTAAATAACTGTAAAATTAACTTGGTTCCAGACTGACAGTGAACAGCACTTGCTTTTCAAGCACGCCGTCTATAATGCTGCCAAACAATTAGGACAGACTTTCATGTAAAAATAAAAATGTGCATAACAGGACGTCATCTTGGCAAAGCCTCCAAACAGTTCAGTCCAGGACTCGTCCTCGAAATAGTCTGATGCTCAGTCAGTATGAGAATGAAAGATCATTCATGTAAGTCAGTTCCTTTGGCATCTTTGTGGCAGAGGACTTCCTCTCAACAAACCGCATCAGACCTGTGAAACAAGACAGCAGGGTAAAGGACCTTGAAACTGTGAGAAGAACCAAATGAAGTGATATAAATGTGGATTTTGTCCCCCTCTACTGGAGATGAAGAGAGCAACATGCAAATATTCCAGGGCTTTCAGGGAAATATTCTAATTATTTAAAGGGGTCATCGGATGCCCATTTTCCACAAGTTGATATGATTCTTTAGGGTCTTAATGAAAAGTCTATAACATACTTTGGTTAAAATTTCTCAATGGTAGTGTAAAACAACACTCTTTTTACCTTGCCAAAAACAGCTCTGTTCACAGCAAGCCGTTTTAGTGCATGTTCCTGCTAGTGTCAATCAACAATCATGGGAGGGGCCTGGGTCTTGGTGACGTCCGAGCGGCAACCTCCCGCTCGCTCTAGTGAAGCCAACAAGGAAGTGACTTAAGCTGCAATTCATCGACTGGCCGCTAGAGGCTGGCTGCAAAAGGGAGTCAATCCCATAGACTCCCCATGTTAAAATGCCCAACTTTACAGCAGAAAAAAACATGTTTAAAGCCTGGTTCAAAAAATGATTTTGGTCTATATAGCTAATTTTGCCCTTCATGACAACTGTGAGGGGGGTGAATTTTTTTACAACTCATCCGTTTAAATTATATTAAACCTTAAAGTTCTGCATAATTAAG